CGGGCCCCGGGAGGCAGCCCTCCCAGGAAGGCACTGAGCGCATTTTACCTTTTTTCTTTTCCGTAGTGGAAATCGGCGGATGGGTGCCAGTGTCACTGGGGTGAAAGTGGGGGTGAGAGAGGTCTCCTCCATGATGTGCACTTTGGTGGATCTCTCGGTTTTCTGTCCTGAACAACTGGGCTTCAGACATGTTCCTGTGAAGCCGCGAGGGAAGGCAGGGAAGAGGACTGGACGCTGTGAGAGGGCCCCACACCTCCCGGGATGCAGAAGCAATAGCAAGACACTCAGATTCAAAAGACGAAGAAAAACATCACATTCTTTATTTCCAAAGAAAATAGCAAAATGGAGCTTCATGTACACAGAAGTCTTTGGAGGGACAATCACATTTTAATTTATTTTTACATATTTACAGCAAGATTAAGCCACCACTTTCAACTGTGTTTTCATTTAACAAACACTTTCAGTCAAGTACTATATAACAACTTTTTTTGTTTCCAGTAAGTTCATAATTTAGGATACTAAAGGGACAGATGATAAATCACGAACAGCATGGGTAGAGAGGATACTAAATAGTCTAAGGTTTCAGTCAGGTCTTTGCATGTGTGAATTATGACTGCAAAACATTTGCCTGTCTGCATAATTCACATTTACTGTAATCATTACATTTTCCCATAAATTAACAATATAAATAAACATATGGGGACCTCAAGTAAGAAACTAAAAATCAATATAAGATACAACATTTTGCTGCAACTATAATAACAGCATGGGTTACAGCTCAGGAAAACTTCTTTACAAATCATTTAGTCAGCACATGAAGCAGAAAGACGGGAACATCCTTGTTCATTTAAACCACCTCTAAAACCACACGAAGGAGGTTTGGGAAAGGCTGGACAGGGTGAAAGTTTCTTTCCTGGGCACAATATAACATGAAAAACTGCTTACGTGGATGGGAGGGGGCATTTGCATGCATTCTGGGGTCACTATCTTGTAAACTGAATTTTCTGAACTCCAACTGCCAAGATTCTGAAGAAAACAGGAAATTATAAAAATGTCTCCCTCAAGCCACTTTCCTTCCTGTTAATGGCAGATAAAGCTTGCTGATTGCTGCTAGTGAGAAAAAAAAAACACAAAACGATTCTATTTTTAGCAGAGATTGTCTTTTAAGGAGTAGGAAATATTAACAATAACTTGGGCAGCCTTAGGTTCCAAGGATCCTGAGCCAGAATACTGGGAGCTTGAGTCCCCATAGGAGGCTCAGGTGACCTGACTTGGACTGATTGAGTGCAAGCCACAGCATACAGAAGCCTACATGCATGTTTCAGAGACTTTGCAAAGGGCCCCTCAACATCTGCACACCTCCACAGGCCTTGGACCTTACGTCTCTGCATTAGTTTTGTTTTCCTTTCCCCTTAGTCCTAAAGTTATCAGTTAGTGTGCATGTCTTTTTTTTTTTTAAGAAGTTTGATTTTTATCTCTTTAGAAACGGTTTGAAACTAACGGGGCAGACGGAGTTTGACAGAGAGGAGAACAAATCGCTGACAAAGAACCTTTTACGTTTCATCAGCGTTGTTAGGACGACAAGCAGGAATGTCTCAGATAATAACTCCCACTTCAAAGATTTCTCAACTCAATAGAAAGCGGACCATCCTTTTTATTCAACCACAAGGACTGGCACTAAAGAAGACTCCACTGTTTGATTTTTTTTCCACCGTGTTTATTTTTCCCCTATTCACTGGGGTACTTGGATAAAATAAACAACATGACAATTAAGGAAACATGGACTTCTAACTTTCCTGCTATCTTCCCTATTCCCTTGGCTTTGTGCTCTTGAGCTCGTGCCCAGGGCCAGCCCAGGCCTGAGGGGTACCGTACACACCATTATAGAGAGAAGTAAGTTTGGGGGGCCCCAAGAGACTTCTGGGATAGAGGGGATGAATGGGTTGTGCTGGGGCCAAAGTGGAAATATCCAAAAGCCACAGTCTGAACTTTCCAGACTTATCCAGGGTGGCTCTCTCGTCCTGCAAGTCCCATTCAAATTCATGCCTTCACCTTGTTCAAGATGCAGAGAGGTGCTTTGCACAAAATGAGCTGGGGATGCTCATTTGTTCAGCTTCTGGGGTTGCCCTAAAGTTATTTGCTCCTGACCTTGCAGACTCTTTGAGGAGCAGCCAAGGTATGTTGAGTCCGGCTCCTCCCTTTCCTGCAATCGTCCCTGGCACCAAAGCGCCTACCTCCATTAACATGCAGGAGGAACGCCTAAACATCGGTGAGGCAGGTCCTAAGGGGGAAGTATACACTGGAGAACATAGTGACAGTATTAAATGGCGTGAAAGCAAAGGTCAGTGCGAATGTATCTTAATAGAGTGTCTGCAGTGAAGTGTGCCGCCTTTGAAGCGGCCGCTCCCCGCGCGCATTTCCATGGCGAGCCTAACGCGGCATGCTGATGCACCGTCAAACTCACACTTTCAACCCCAAAACCCAACTCTTTGAACAACCCGAGCTTGATTAGACCTTTCTCCTTTTCTTTCCCTCTTACAAACCATTTCCTCGCCTTTAGAAACTCGCCATCAAACCCAAATGCGCCCTCTGATCACCGCAGAAAGCAGAAACAAAGGGGGCTGAGCGGCAATTCAAGCGCCCTTTTTCTTCCCTCACATTATTATCCATTTTTATTATGATCGGGAACAAGTGCCCATTCGCGTGGGTTTTGTTTACCGGAAATTAAATGAAAATGATTTAGTCCGCGTCAAACAAAAATATATACTTGTATACACAAGAAAAAAGGCCTGTTAGACGTAAATATTATGTCCTTAATGAAAAGCCTGGACGGGCTCCAGGCTCGGCCTTTCAGGATTTCAGTGCGACTTGCCCATTGCCATAGAAATCCTAACTTACCATGAAGATGCACCGTGGCGAAGAAACATTGCTTTGTGCGCGGGCCCTTTGATGTCACAAGCGTGAGATGCGGGCTCTCAGCTGCGCTGGGCGAGATTACCTTGCGAGCAACGAGGTGGGCATCTGTAACAAGCAAATGAAAAATTAAAGGTGATTAGCGACCGACCAAACATTGTTATTTCATTTTATTATTTTGGACGGGGATGGAAGGAAAAGTAGGGTCTAGAAACAGAAGAGAAAGAAACGAATCCTGTTGGGGACGGGATAATTTTTAAACATCGTGGGAAGACGCAACTTCCCCAGATGACCTCTGCGCATTGGTGGAGACCAAGGCTTGCTGTTTACCCAGCCCTTGTCCAGGCAGTCGCTGAGCCCTATTGTAGTGGGGCACAGAGGGGATTGTAGTCCCCCTTCCACAAGGACACTAAGGATGTACTGGGAAGATTTTTATTTTGTTTTGTTTTTAAGGGATAATGAAAAGAACCCCATTACAACTGGGATATTATTTATCTGATGGAACTGTGGGGCTGTTGGGCAGGAGTGATAATCATCTTATGTATCCGAAGAGGGGAGAGCAGAAAATCCAGCAGAGTGGCCGGGCCAGGACTGGTTTCCTGGGCTCAACTTTTAAAAGTAAGCTGTTTAGGGGCTCCCCCTAGGTGAAAACACCATAACCCTATTTATAGCTAAATTCTTAGGGGACTGGGATGGGTTTGCTCAAGATTTTTTTCCCCTTATTTTTCTTTCCTTATTCCTCTAAATCTCAACAAGTATTTCTGGGAAGCCTCATCCTCCCCAAAAATGGCAGACTGGAATATAGGCTCCAATCTTTCATTCTTGGCAACAAACGCAAAGGCTTTCACCTCCCCTGCCCCCAACATCTGGTTCTCTTTCTGTGGACTGGGTATCCAGCACATAAAATACACATACAATCTAGACCCATTAGGTGTTTGCCTTTAAAACATTTATTATGGCAGTTCATCTCTTAGCCCCCTTCTTCACCCTAAAAAAAAGTAAAACCAACATCGTGCAATTTTTGACCATCACAAAATTGGCGCGATCTGTCCAGACACTGTGGACTAGGTCGGATCCCCTCGCAGTGCAGACCTCGGGTCTGTGACGTCATCGGCTCGCTGCACTCCCGCCCCCAGGCAGCCACAAGATTCCACAGGCGGGGAATGGACAAGGGTGGGAGGTGAAGAGAGGGTGATTGGTCTGGGGAAGCCCCAGAGCCTTGAATCTTAAAGCCCCTCTTGCACTCTTCTGTCTGTATTTCCACCTCCTACCCCAAGTTTAAAATGTATATACGGAGCAGGTGGACAAGTAGTCGGATGCGTCTGTGCGCCCGGGCCAGTTCGTGAGCAAAGGCATGTGACCCCAAGGGGCGATGCTGACACATTATTTTCTCCTTTATAGAAGTAAATGGAAATATTTGAATCTGAAACTTGTGTGTTTTTGTTTCAAAGGATAGCTGGGAAATGGGGAATTGTAAGGAAGCAAAGAGGAAGGAAATGGAAGGTAAGATATAAGTGATCCGAACTGCGGACCAAGCTCCAACTGGGAGCTGGGAAAGGAGTGGGGGCGTGGCAAACCCAAGCCTCAAGGAAAACAGTTCCCATCCTCTGAACCGACAAGGACTTTGTGGCCTTAGGTTTGCCACCTGAACTTTCCAAGATTGCACATAAACTCTCCTGATATATATCAGGAACTCTCCTTTCTGCCCGTCTTTATCCCAACACTAGTCATGACAGTGCTTGTGTGTGGGGGGGTGGTGTTGAGTGTGATTGTAGAACCATATTTACAATGTAAATATGAGTACCATATTCACATTTTAAAATAATGGACATTTACCAACCAGCATCTTCAATGAGCTCTATTAGTTGTGACCTTCCTTCCTTCCTTCCTTCCTTCCTTCCTTCCTTCCTTCCTTCCTTCCTTCCTTCCTTCCTTCCTTCCTTCCTTCCTTCCTTCCTTCCTTCCTCCCTCCCTCCCTCCCTCCCTCCCTCCCTCCCTCCCTTCCTTCCTCATCTTCTTCTCAAGCCTCAAGGACCGGGCCTAGACTAGCACTCAGTGTACGCAGAGCAGCAACTACAGCAGCAGCCCTAACACTGGAGGCGGCGGCGGCAGCGGCAAGGCCAGGTGCTGGCGCATGGGGACGCGGCGCCGGCAGTCCAGACCCGGCCAGCGCCTTGACACACGTACCATTCGCTCAGTTCCGCGCCACGGGCCGCCGCCGCCGCCGCCGAGGAGGCCACCGGGGGCTCACGGCCGAAGTCCGAGGAAGGAGACACCAAGGTGGACGGCGTGGCCGAGTCGAAGCCAGAGCTAGGAGGCGGCGGTGAGCGCCCGTGCACTTTCATGTGTTTACGAAGCGAGCTGGGGTGCGTGTAGCACTTGTCGCAGCCGCGCACTTTGCACGTGTATGGCTTGTCGCTCGTGTGCACGTGCGAGTGCTTCTTGCGGTCGCTGCTGTTGGCGAAGCGCCGCTCGCAGCCCTCGAACTCGCACCTGAAGGGCTTCTCCCCTGGTGGAGGCAACGCAGAGACATTAGTGCGTGGGAGCCGCGGCCCGTCTCGGCCTCACAAACCTCCCCAGATTTCTCCTCCATTATGTGGTAAAGAACCAGTACAGATTTTCAGAAACCTTTGTGTTCGGCTCCTCGGGCCCGGCACCCCCTTCCAGGCTCGGAAGGCGCCTCCCGCGCGGCCTCCCGCAGACCTCTCCCCCTCCCCCTCTCCCGCCTGGGCCGGGGGGAGGGTGTGGGGGAGGAGCGAGAAAGACTCCATCTTAGTTGAGTTTTAGCCCTGAAAAATTCCGATCTGTTCCAATTGTTTTCCTCCAAATTTTCTCCTCTCGGAGAAAAGCAGGAGCTCGTCTGCCCAGAGAACGGAGTTGACTGAGGAGCTCTCATCTGCTCAGTTTAAAGTTGTTCCAGCCAAACGTCTGTTTCCTGCCCAAGGGTCCACCCCACACATACCCTACTCCTGGCCCAAAACTGTTTCCTAAAGTAGGTTTTGCGTAAGCGCCAAGGCGATGGGAAGATTTAAGGATGTGCAGCCGATGCACACGGCATGTACATAATGTGGATTCTTGCTGTAGAAAAAGGTGTTCTGAGCAGTGATTCACTTCACAAGCGATTTTTACAGGAAATGGAGCCCCCTCCCCCTTCCCTTCGACCCCCTGAGGGCAAACATTTAGCAGCAGTCTTCCAATCTTGCCTGAACCGTCCGGGATCCCGCTACCTAGGCGCGCCACGAACACTATTTTATTGCGCTGCTCCAGCGGCCTCCTGGAGAAGCTACCGCGAGCAGCCAGCTCTCCCAGTCCCCACTGACCAAGAGGTTGTCTGGCCTCTTCAGGCCACCTCGCCCGGGAGTCTGGCCTCGCCAGCCTCAATGAAGAGGCCGGCGCGGCAGGATCTGCCGCGGAGGAGCGTGCTCCGCGGTGTATCACGCAACTGCACCAGCAAGGCGGCTCCGGTGTGAGAGCAGCTACTGTGGTCAGTCCAGGCCCTGCCCGGCGGACCGAGGGCCAGCGGACAGCCGGGTAGCCCCGCGAGGAACGCCACTCCCGGTGCGATGCTATGCGGAGCCGCAGGAAGGCGCGAGCGCGCGTCAGGGTGGAAACACTGGCCGAGGACCAAGCTCCCACCCGGGAGCTCAGCACCGGCTGGTTCCGCAGGCGCGTGGGGGAGGAAAGAACCGCGAGAGCCCGGAAGCCCCGGTCCCGGCTGGAGCTGCAGAGGCTGCGGGACGGAGGGGAGGAAGTGTCCAGGCACTTTAAACAACTGGAGGTCGCCGAGCGCCTTGGGCAGGGGAGACCGCTGCCTAGCTTCTGGCTGAGGAGAAGGGTGCACGGCGGGAGAACTGTTGCCTTTGTAGTCGCTTCTCCCGCGACTTCCAGGAAAGACAGGAGCTCTGGGGACAGGATTGCACAAAGCCCCCATCCCCGTGCCTTGCCGAGGCTCACGTTCAGCCAGAGGTTTGAGAGCAACCCTCGCCTCTGCGCGGCGGAGGTTTGTGAGCGGGTCGCTGCGCCCTCCTCCTGCAGGACTAGTTCTAGTGCAGCGGCTCACTGAGCAGTGCTGGAACCTGCCGTTTCTGGGACGCCGGTACAGTTTTATTAAACAAATAAATAAATAAATAAATAAATAAATAAATAAGCAAGCAGAATAAATTTGTGTCTCTATTTACCCCTCGTTTTCATCCCTCTAGTCCCTGTTACGATCTACCAAACTAAAACTTTTCTTCCTCCTTTCTTCTTTTCTTTCTAAAATCTTACAAGAACCATGCAATTCAGGGCTTGCCAAAGAAAATAAGATTTGCTAAGATAACAGAGGAGGACTGGAATTTAAGGTTGATTGCCCACACTTATCCCATCTTGTGAGCGCCTCGTTGTACATTCACGTAAAATAGAAAAAGTAATTTCGTCCTAGACGAGGAGTGGAGGTTGAAAAAGGCCGGGCACGAAGGTAATTCGGGCAGCCTGGAAGTCCCGAGACCCCTGGGAGGCCAAGTGAGGCTGCGCCCCAGCGCCCTGGCGGCCTCGCCCAGTGGCTGGAGGTGCCCGAGTCTCCCGGCCAGACCCTCACCCCGAACCTCCGCCCCCGGCACCGCCTCCCGCCCGCTCCCTCGTGCCACGTCTGGGCTCGGAGCCCTGCGGGTGCCTGTGGAGAGGCCGGGTGAGTCCCGGGCCCTGCAGCACGGCTCGAGCAGCCTGGGCTTGGGGCTGAGTCGTGCAAGGCCCGCAGTCTCCTCCTAGAAGCCTAACTACGGGGAGAGGCCCCTTCCCAGCCCCCAGCCGGTGCTGCGGAAAAAGTTCCGCGGCGGCGGCGGCCAGGCCACGCGCCGGCGCCATATTCCCGCACTTGTGGCTGAACCCTACCGTCCCCGCCCCTGCGCGGTCTCCGCTCCACCTCGGCCCCCAGCCCAGCCTCTCGCTCTGTCCGCCGCCTCGGGTGGCGGTTTGAGGCCGCAGCGCGGGGCGCGAGGCGCGGGGCGCGGGTCGGAGCGCGCGGCGGCACCATTGTTCCCGGTCTGCAGCTACCGCCGCGGGGCCCAGGATTCGGATCCGGAAGGATTTTAACTCCCGAGAAATCATCAGCTCCTCTTCGCCACTTCCGCGATTCGAGGAAATGAAACGCCATTAATATTTGAAAAGGCAATTATTTTCCTGTTGAATCGAGAACTGTCTTCATGAATAATTTGTAGTGAGGTCTATTGCCATTTGAGAAACATTTTGTTGATTTTCTCCCCCCCTTTCATTACTTAGGAGGGGGGTTGAGAGAAGCGCCTGAGTAGACCAAGAGAGACTCTGTACAGTTTTTTTTTTTAACTGCAGCGATAATGAATCAGGACTGCCAGTGGAAAAGACGCAGTTGAAATTCTGTCCTGAATAGAAGTAAACCTGAGCCAGCCCCGGCACACTGAACTTGCCTCTCTGCTGTAGGTCGATTGCACTAAGAATTTAACCATTTTCTGCTTCACGGACTTCAAACAGTAGGCCGGCAAAGAGCAGTACAAGTTTGTTTGTTTAAAACTCCCCTGTCATTAAAAATGAGTTCCTTCTCTGGCTCAGGACAGCTTGTCTACCTTTGCGGCGTGGAACGCCGGCTTGCAGAGAAACCGGCCTGTGGGCGGTGATCAGCCCCTCGCCTCTTCCCGCCTCTCCCCTCCCCCCACGAAACTTTGAGGTGGGGGCGGGAGGGGAAAATGCTGGGGAAGGGGAGGCATCCTGGAAACAGCTCTGGGAAACCATAGATTTCCAGACATGCTCGGAAATAAAGTGGGAGACTGACTCCACGTGGACTTTGGTCTGGTCTCCGCGTGTGCTAGGGTCCTGGCCACCGACCTTCCCAAAGATGGCAAGGTTTGTAGGAGAATGCGGGATTTAGCGAGAGTCGTTCCCAGGCATTGCCAGCCCGCGGGAGCTTTTTTGGCTCTAATAACTACCAACAATTTTCGCCAATAATAGAGGTGAGTAAAGCAGAGTCCAGGGAGTAGAAGTGCGGCATCAAGCTAGAACAACGGTCCCCTTACCCCACCCCCAATTCACGCACCACCGCTGCAAAAACAAAACAAAACAAAAAACACAAAAACAAACGGGAGGGGAGATGTTGCTCAAACTTGGGGTGGGAGGGAGCAAGAACACCCTAGCTAAGTAGAATAGAAACATCTGGCTGCTAAACTAATTAATGTAACTTCACAGTCTGTTCTGGGAAGTGTGAAAACTTTCTCCCTGCAATCACATTAATTAGAGATGCTTCTGGCCAGAGAAGTTCAACTTTACAGGCTCTTGCCCTGGCTCCTTTTCTTTCTGTTAACTAGAACTAACAGATGTGGTTGACACATGTCCCCATTTCACTTAACAGCTCGGTAAATGACATTTAGGGCGATGAGTCTCCTTGGATCTCTACTAAAGGCGAAGGGAGGGTTTCTCAAACGTCCCAAGTGTCGAGTCGTGGAGACTCCAAAATAGGGCCAAAGTCAGCCATGGACCCCAAATTCTAAAGAAGGCGCCTAAGGCCTGATGACCCTCAGTTCCGGTGGCGGTCAGGTTGTTAGGCTGGAGGAGTGCTCGCCAAAGAAGCCAGGGAAAGTTAAATTGCTCCTATGTCTTTAAGACTTTGGGGATCGGTACTATTTTAAATACCTTAACAACAAACTCAAACAGCCGCAAGCACACATTTGCACACCCAGAGACCCAAGCACGTTCACCCTCGCTCCCCAGAGCAGAAATCCTGTATTATCCTCCTCACTCTCAGCTTTGGGGACTTCTGTGATTCTAACAGAAGGGCGTAATTAATTTTTTATGAACTTGGCTCGTGGAAACACCAAAATATCCCCCCTCTCCTCTGGTGGAACTTGAGGAAATCCAGCCCGAGGTCCCGGAAGAGGCCGCCTGCTTCCCCAGAGGATTCGCCTGAGATAGTATCGAATACTGACCTGTGTGAGTTCGTTTGTGTATTTTGAGATTTTCTGATCTAGCAAAGACCTTCCCACACCCCGGGAAAGGACAGGGGAAGGGCTTCTCGCCCGTATGCACGCGGATGTGATTTACAAGTTTGTATTTGGCTTTAAAGGGCTTGCCCTGGCGCGGACACTCCTCCCAGAAGCAGATGTGGTTGGCCTGCTCCGGGCCGCCGACGTGCTCCACTGTGACGTGCGTGACCAGCTCGTGCATGGTGCTGAAAGTTTTGGAGCAGAGGAGCCTGGGCGCGGGGCCCTCCGCAGCCAGCCACTTGCAGATGAGCTCCTGTTTGATGGGCTGGCGCATGTAGCGGAAGAAGGCGCCGGGGCCGTGGGGCGCCGCTAGGTTCATGGTCAGGTTCATGCTCCCGTAGCCGTGCAGGGCAGCGGCAGCGGCCAGGGCTTCGCTGCGGGCCACGGGTCCCGGCGCGAAGGGTTCGGGCCGCGCGTACATTTCTCCGGGGAGCCCCAGACGCAGGAGTCCGTTCAAAGTGCTGCTGGCGGAGGCCTGGGGAGGTTGTTCTTGAAGGCCAGGGAACACCGAGGGGCTGGAGGCGGCAGCAAGCTGGGGGCCATGGTGTCCGAAGCTACTACCTGTTGTCGAGACAAACAGCGAGAGTGAGAACCGGGAGTGTGAGCTAAGCGTTCCAGCTGGCCCCGGGGGGCAGGCCCAGCCCAGCCGCACCACGGCCCCGGCCTTCAGCGCCGAGACCTAGACCCAGACAGCGGCGCAGCAAACTGGGTAGACCGCGCGAGGCTGAGCACCTCCGCGGAGGCTGGGCTGGGTGGATGTTGGGTAGAGCCCCCTGCCTCTCCCTGAACCTGAGAGGGATAGATGGTGGCCGCGCGGCCAGTGAAAAGGACGGTGGGGCGCGCAGCGCGGAGTCTGAGGACTGTTGGGAGTCCCCGGGCTCTGCTCCAGGGAGGTCCGACCTGCTCGCCAAGCGCGCTTCAGCGACCAACTCCCTGGGGCGTTCGGGGTCCCAGCGCCCCGCGTGGTAGTGGGGATGAGGGCAGTGGGGATGTTGTACGTGGTGGTGATAGTGCTGAAGCGCCTGGGCCATATATACTAATTTCAGCGCCCCGCTCCGCCGGGAGTGGGCGGCCTGCTGCATCCGGGCTCACACTCCCCGGAGCTCTCCGCGTCGGCCAGTTCAGGCCACCGTCACCTGACAGTGTGGAGGGGAAAGAGCAACCACAAAAAACTTCTGCAAAGTTTCCGCCCCCCCCCCTCAAGTTTTGGATTGTGACTTCCCCCCAACCCCCTCTTTCGGTCTTTAAAGCCTACTTGAAACCCGTATACTACACTACAGAGGCAGCAGCGGGGCGCGTGAGGGCGTGAATAGAGATTCGGGCCGCTGCTGGGGCCCGCGGAGAGGAACAATCGCCTAGGTCGCCCATTGGCCTGCCGCCCGGCCCGACGTCAGCGATGACAGGTCTCGCCGCGCTCGGACACAAACGCGCGCGCGCGCGCACACACACGTGTACACACACACACACACACGCACACACACACACAACCCCCCGCTCCTCCTCCAGCCTAGCCCCCCTTCGCCCCACTGCGCGTTCTGCTTCTACTGCTCATGCGCTCTGACCCGAGCACCGATGCTTTTCCCTCCTCCGGAGCGGAGCCTCCTCCCCCTAAAGCTGGGGGGATCTGCTGGAAGTGAGTGGGTCTTGATTATGCTTCCATTCTCCACGACTTTGGGGAGGGGTGTTGCGCTGTACACCTCTTCGGGGCAGACCTGGTGCACCCAGCTTTGCCTGGGCTGATGGGCAGCACCCGGCCACACGGCACACAAGGATGGTTCCGGAGGTTTGTCCCAGGAGCAGGGAGAAAAGACTTCTGCAGCGCAGGCGGTCGGATTCAAAAGAGCTCCTAGGCTAGCAGCCGTTGAGCCTAATTTTATTTTTTTTTCTCCGAAGTATCTTTCTCTCTCCCCTTATCTCTCTCTCTCTTGCGCGCGCACACACACACACACACACACACACCCCTCTCCCAAAGCCCAGACCACACCATGCCTTCCAACTTGTATCCTTTCTTCTCCCCTCCCCCTTCCCCTTCCCACTCTTTTTATCACGCTTAGCCTTGGCGGTGTCGCCTCTCGGTGCGTGGCGCTCTCACGGAGGTTTGAACCCAAGAATCCCGCCCTGACCAGAGCCAGGAGTGGGCCAGAGGCGGTGATGACCTGCAAAGCCTGACTTCAAACCCACGCAGACCTCCAGATAGGAGCTAAGGATCCCCCAGCCACAAATCACACCGACCCGTGGGCGGACTGACCAAAGAAACCAAGGGGAGGGGAGCAAGAAGGAACATCTCCTCACTTCCCTGACACTTTCCGTCAGGTCTTGAGCTTTGTAGACCCTTCCGCCAGACAGAGCCTTTGGGAAAGGGGGCTTAGGGGCCACTTACACTCTCAGCCCCTGCCACTTGTTGCCTGTGGCCAGAGTCTCCGCCTCCCTCCTGCTTGCTTTCAGGGCTCTAAGCAGAGTGGCCGCCACGTTGCGGGACCTAGGCTGGAAAGAGGGACTGAGGGTCCAAGCCCTGCTATGGAAGACGCTCTGCCTGGCTTCGGGCTCCAGCGTCTTGGCGTGGGGGCTGGCAGGTGGGGAGAAAAGTTCCGTTCTGGCCCAGCCCTGTGTGGCATAAACGGGCGAGGAGGGGTGAGTCCTTTGTTTGCGCCCACCCGTTAGGGCAGGCTATGTCGCCTGGCAATTTGAAGGGCTGCTGGCCCGGACTCTTGCCTTTGTCTCCAGCCAAAAATGCCAGCCTAAGTATTTGGGCTTCCCTGATGGCTATTGGGAGCACCCCAACTCGGAGAAAAGTTTTTTAAAGAGAAGTTTAAATGGTTGAGTAAAAGATCTTGAACCCTTAGTAAAGGTGAAAAGTTTGGACAGATTGCAGGGAACTCGGACTCCGGGTTTATCAAGCTGCCCCACCCATTGTCAGCAGCAAGAACTATTCTCCTACAGATCATGGTCAGTGAATATTTCTTGTTTAAAAAATAATGAACTAATTTATAATGGCTGGCAGATTCTTTGAGTTTTTCTTCACCTAACACATTGTTCCCCTTTGGAGCACATTTAGGTAAGTGATTGACTTTCATGACTTCCCCTGGCTTTGACAAGTGCAGGTCTTTCTTGCACTTTGTCAGACTGCTCCAGCTGGAAGAGCTTAAGCAATACTACCCAATACATGCTGTGTTAGCGTTAAAAAAAAAGTTGAAGGAGAGCATTCGACAACCCAGCCCTGGTCTGTTCTGGAAACCAAGGGCTTCCACAGCAGTGTTGAGACTAGACTTTGAGGATTTGTCTGCTTTCCTGGCCTTCACCCTCTTCCGCACTCTCACTTTCTGGGATTCACCCCTCTGCCTACAGGCCCCTCCTCTCTTTGGTCTCCTGCCCTGTTTTTCTTTCCTCTAAGCCGGGTCAGGCGTGATCTCTATCTCTTGTGAGGTGTTCCTAATGTCAGTGAGTGGTTTCAAGGCTCCCCACTGTGCAGGTGTCTGTTGAATGATGCAGTTTTCTAGGCCAGTGGGGGCTGAACCCACGCAGGGCTCCAAAAATAACAAAGATCAAATCCAAAAACCCAAACGTGTGTGTTCCTCCCTGGGACCCTGTGGCCAGCTGTTTCCCCAAAGCATCCCTTAACACAGAGCTTAGTCATCTCCTCCTGCAGCAGACTCCAGCTCAGGGCACAGCTGCAGCAGTCCGGCAATTAAAATATTTTATTTCCCACCTGAACTTAGCTGATCTACAGCCTACTGTTTAGATGTTTGTCAAACTCACCCTCCACTTCGACTTCCATTAAAAATCTGATTTACACAAGTATGTATCTCTTCCTTTAAACACTGTGACCCCATCTGCATCAGAATCTTTGAATAACCGTACAGAACGAGGGCATTTAAGTCATTTTGGTCTGCATATCCTTTTAGGACCCTGATGAATCTGGTGAATTTTGATATTACTGTGTTTGTTGCCCACATTTGTAATAGAATAAAATTATTACTTTCTATTAAAAGGTGGTGAAAATAAAGATTTTTTTCCTCATTCAAATTTGCAGAGTCCTTGAATTCTCAGCATTGACCCTGTGGACTCCAGGGATAAGAAGCAGGGGTTTTATACACAGAAACAGTTAGTACACTACACGCTCTCTCTTAATAACTTTACCTTGAAAAGCTTTGAACATGTGTATGGCTTTCTGTGCCAACAGCAAAAGGGCAGATACATCTGATTCAGCCAAATTCACCGACAGTTACCTGGCCCCATGGAACTCCCTCCCAGATGCAGCCTTCTCTTGAAGCACTGAAAACATCTGGACTCATCCTGGGTTGATGCTTCTTGAGTAGTCAGGGGTCAGTCAACCTGCAGGTCAGTAAGGTTGCCTGGCCCTTGCAAGTTCCTCAGAGCCACACGGTTCACTCCTTGGTTGGCTAAACATAGAACGGGACCAGACATTCTCCAGCAGGGACATTTCCCGAGGGACAGAGATATGCAGGAAAAAAATGATTTTACCCACTGATATTCATAAACAGGGAACTTTGCGTGCTTGCATAAGGGTCTTCAGAGCTTACTGAAAGTAGCACCAAAGCAATATCCAGATAACCACAAAGGACAGGTGGGGCACCAATGCCAGGAAGGCATATTTCAGTTTTTACAGACACTCCTTTTAGTCTCCCAGTGCTCAGGTAGCAAGGAGTTCAGGTTTCACTGACTATTGATTGGGCAGGCTCAGGAGTAGTAATCTCCTCACTGGTGATCAGAATTTTTATTTCAGAAAGTTATCTCACCACACTTACTCCCAAAATCAAAGGCTTGGCTGGGACATTCTTTTTCTAACAAATTCTGGCATTTATAGCATTATTTAGTCTACTTTCCTGCTTGATTTGCTTTTTTAAAAAGACATTCTGCTGTCCAGAGATCTTTCAGCAGACGTCACAGGAGCTCTGGAGGCTTTCGTGGGGACCTGTTTGAAGAACGTTTCACTAACAGATCCTAAACATCCCCCGCCCCGTGCCCAGAGTCATGCCATCGCTGCCCTGGTTTGTCCCAGCCAGGCCAATGCAACAGCATAAACTGAACTGATTTTCTACCCCTGTTGTATAGACATATTACATTTGATGATGCCACCATCTGCCAGAGCTCCTCACACCAGTGGCTTAAATGAGAAAAATGCCTGACCTCTACCTTGGAAAGGAAATAAATGAGGAATATTTCAGATTTAGCTCATAACTGGGCTATTTTTCAATTTTGTTATCTTAAACAATGCTAAATGATGATTATCTGTTTCAGGTTATGCGCAAAGTAGTATTCTATTAGCTGAGGGCCACTGCACAGAGCCTGGCCAAGCATAAGCCTTGTGTGAATGTTCTGTATCTAGATCTGCAATGACTTGTTCAACCTTTTTCCCCCTTGTTTCTGACCAGGTTACCACCCCAAAACGAGGGCCAAATCTTTTCATAGGCCACTCACAGACAGACTTCAGGATTCCTACAGTGAGAGTTTGTCTCTATTTTTACGGGAAAATAACAACTTAAGCTCATAGAAGCTACTGTATGTCCAGGCCCAGATTGTACAAAGATGAGATTGATCAGAATTTTAAAGACATTCCTTCCCTTTGCTATGCAAGTTTGGGTTTCAGTCAACACTGATGAAACTGAATATGCAAGAAAGTCTATTTGGATAAAATTTAGTTTTCAAGCAATGGTTCTATAAAACATCTTTTAACAAAAGATTAAAAGCATGGCTAAAAGATCTTTCAGAACAGCACTGAAGAACTCAAATAACTGAATTCACATAATAACCACACTTCTCTTGAGAGTTTTGCCATCAAATCAACCCAAAATAATAGAAGAGAGCCATTTCCTGAGTTGTCATTTAACTTTTGTTAAGAAGGTTGCTTTTCCTATTGTCAAAGAAGCATCTTGGGGGCAACCATCAGCTGCTGGTGTGGTTGAAATGAGGAAAACTATATGCCTGGGAGGGGAAACACCCAACCCTAAATCATATGCTTATTCTAAATGGAATATTAAATTAAATTGTTCACAATGAAGGCATTCCTAACCAAGCGGCTGTCAGTCACTCCCTGTTCAGACACCACATTGTGGGAACGTCATCACCACCACATTGCAGAAGGCTGGTGTCCCTGGTAAAGATGATGCATATCATGTAAACCCCATCACCAAGATCAAAGTCTGCTTCTTTCATGGAAGCCAATACATGTCAAACCTCATTCCAATCAAATCGTCTGGAAATGAATTCAAGATGAATATGTCATAGAATAATGTGACAGTGGAACTGCAGAAGGTCAGGGGTGGTTGTTTCAATGAGAGAGTCATCAAATATTAATTCTAGAACGTCCAGATGAGTAGGCATTGAGGGAGGTTACTCAGTTGCTGGTGGGACGTTGAGTAGCTGATTTGTGTGCAAAAGCATGAAACACCAAGGTGTTGTTCGAAGTTTCATCTGAACTCAAAAAACATCTCTAAACTCACAACCGGCATAAGCAAAAGATCAAACAAAACTTCCTACTTAAAAAAAAATACTTTCAGCAAAGCAAAATTCAAAAGAAGATTATAACTTACTTGACTCTTTCAGAGCGTTTCGGTAAAGTCTTAATCGTTTCCTCATCACCAAAGAAGTCTTGTATCTCATTTTCTGACCTTGAGCCTATGAGGGAAAAAGAGGGTCAGTCACTAGGTGAATAATTTTATACATGTTTGTATGACAAAATTTTGTGGCCTACATGTGTGAGTGAAAGAAAGTGTTGGTTTGAAGTCTTTCAGTCTTTCTTTCTTCAAACATTTTCAAATTTGGCAGTGAAAAAGAGAGAGAGAGAGAGAGAGAGAGAGAGAGAGAGAGAGAGAACTCTGCTGGGAACTTCTCTTATTTATTGCAAAACAATGCATTATTGATGACAAAAAACAGTAAAGTCATAACCTCCCAATAAGATTTTTATCTAAAACACATTCATGTATCTCCCTTGCACATAGAATTAAGCACCCTTTCAGTCAGTCAGTGTTCAAACATCTCTAACTTTTAGAATTTGAATTTATTTTATGAGAAGCCTTCATTTTTTCTTTCAGTTTATTGAGTTTAGTGAGCTGTAATGGGAAAGTCTGGGAGGTTAGCCGATTAAAAATTGTGTTGCAACTGTTGAGACCAGGAGGAGAGGAATCTCTTTGCAAACATCTAGACCCTGTTCTACCTTGGTGGTGTGGGATCCCTTATATGGCTTCTTCCTCCAGAAGCTGTCACTGCTTGATTTTTCAAAGTTAATATAAAACTCCCCAGATTAGGGAGGAAGTTATCATTTCTATCATCTGGTCCTGGCTGTCTCATTTCTTATTAAAGAAAGTCAGAAACAACCTGACCCCTCCCCCCAAGATATTTACATACTTTAGCAGATTCACTTTGCTAATAGAACCACTGAGGCTTTGGCCGTCTTAAAGCCTGAAACCCACCCCAGTGACCTCTGCATCTGTCAGGAGAGGAAAGGCGTCAGAGCAGCAAAACACAGGCAATCCACCCAGCCCCAGCCCTCAATTTGGCCTAGAAAGACAAACAGTCATTGAAAAGGTCTCAGGCTGGACAAACACAGCAAGCCCTCTGTCAATGAGGAAGTCTGCTTGTCTTGACACTCCAGCCCACAGAACAGGCAGTTGTTTAACTTGTTGAACCACAGGCTAAATCCAAGCAGGGCTCTGCTATCTCAAAGGCTTTCCAGTTCTCTACGTTCAAAGATCTCTTTCTCTCTCTCTCTCACCGCCCCCCCCCCAAACCAGGCTTGAGCAAGCTTGGTGTTTTCACCCTTTCCTCTCCCTTCTTTTCTAGATCTAAGCCTGAGGGGTAGGGGCTGGGGTCAGGGTGTGGACTCACCGGTTCCCAAAGGGTTTTATTTATTTTCAGTTCTCTTTAACCAAAAGGCATTCATCCCCAAACGTAATGAGCTTCTTCCCACACAAATCAGGAGGGAAAGGAGGATCAACTTTATATTCCTACAAAGAGTGGCATGCTGGGTACCCAGTCTTTAGTCTAAAATTTCCTCATGGTAGGATTTTTGGTGTGAAAAAGTCCTGGTTGGTTGGAACTAATAGAATTTACTTTTTGCTTCTGAAGCAAATGGGTGTGAATTTCCCCGGAGAGTTCTGTCCACCCACAATGCTGCCAAGCCCTGCATTTAAGAGGCCTGTGTCACTTTGACTCCCAGGTCCGGCAGCCTTTTGTGCATTACAAAGCCACAGGCATGCAAACAAGTGTTGCAGTGGCTGGACTTCAGGCAGGCAACTGGGACCTTTAGCTGCTCTCTGTAACAGCTCCATCACCAGCCAGTGCAGGGAGCAAAGGTAAATGTCTTCTCCTTTGGTTCATACTCCGACCCTACTTAGCAAAGCTACTCATCTCATTGAAGGAGGGGTGAGTGAATTGGGAGCAGTCCCTGGGCCTCTAGACCTGAGATCCCCACCATTCTAAGAATTTAAAAGCCTTGAAAATGCTGGGCTTGATTATCCTTCCAATGACTCCTGACTTGTCTTCTCACACCAGCCCCAGCCACTGAATCAAAAGTCAGGAGCACAATTTGGAGATTTATTAGAATTTCCCTGCTTTTCCACACCTTGAGAGGAAGAAGAGGTCCCAGAAAGCCCAAGTAAATTAATCGTGCTGGGAGAAAGCCAAGAAGATAGGCTGGTGAGTACATGCAAAGGCGCAATTTTTCTTGTGAAGCACAGAAGCTGCATGTTGTGGGTTTACCTTAGCATGTATGGCTTATTCAAGGTCTGAGGTCACCTGCAGCCTGCTTCCCAAGCTAAGGAATCTAGTCCCCAAGCCTTCAGTGCTGCTCCACACTGATGGACCTGCAGACTCTCCCCAGAGGCAGCCATGCTCCCCTGTCCGCCACAGCTCAGCAGATGCGGGTGCAGAGCAGGTGCCCTTGGAGACGGCCCAGGAACTCCAAAGCCAAGGCTAAGAGGTCTCCCCACCTTTGTCAGCTGCACCCCGCACCTCCCTGTCTCCCCTCTACCAGGCCCTCTAATACCAGAAAGTTGGGGTGCGAGGATGGGTCTTGTGGCAGCCTTTTCTTATTCTTCTGTTTCCTAGAGGGAAGATCTTGGGTGTCCTCACCCCGGGCTGAAGGCTAAGCGACTTCCCTGTGTCCACAGCAGAGTTTGTATTAGTCGCCTGAAGCACCAGCCTGAATATTTAACTACCCCTTGGAACCACCGCCCCCCCCCCCAATCTGCCCACGGCTAGATGGAAGAAGGGAAGGAGGTACCTCCCTGTGGATTGCTGTGCTGCCAGTGCAGTCGGAAATTTTCTCCCCAAGGGAGGAGAAATACGACCTTGGAATCCAAAGGGGGTTTCCCTGGCAGATGGTGCCAGCCAAGGTGTAACTTCCAACTCGCCTTCTCCATTCCTAAGACCTAGCTAGGTCCCCACCGTCCCCACGGACAATTCACCAACCCCAAGCTCTCCCCGTCAGGGCTTTGAGGTAGTCCTGGTGTTCACAGCCGGCCCCGTTCGGGCCTCTCTTTCCTGTAATTTACAGTGACCCGCGTTGTCTAGGGCAGTGGCCAGAATCAGAGGTGGCTGTGGCCTTCTCCCAGGAGAACTAGTGCTAGCCTTCGTTCGCACTGGAGAGAAAGAAAGCCAAGTCCCAAACCCACGGCAGGCGGCGCGCAGAGAGCGGAGCTCAGCGGTCAGCGTCCTGAGGCAGGACCGGGGAGCGCGAGGGCAAGGATCCAGCCTGGCGGCTGACCCAGCCGGCCTCCGCGGTCACGTTGGGGAGGAGAACTTCCGTCATCTTTCTGCCAGCCAGGCTAACTTGGCTTCTTTGACCCTGGGAAGGAGAAGCCGAGTTCCTCCTGCCATCCTCCCAGGGGCAAAGCAGAGAAGCTGCCTCCTCGGGCCCGCTTACTCGGCGCGAGGGAAGTTCAGGGCCACGATTCCCCTTCCCGTGCCCACTGTGGGACACCCAGGCCACAAGGAGACGAGGTAGGGAGGGCGGACCGGCGACCAGCTGCTCTTGGTCTCCTTGCTGGTGGAAGCTCTATTCGTTCCCCTTGCCCCCTCTCCTGGGGAGAAGGGATGGACTCATCCCCACCGCCGCCCCCAGGCAGAAGAGCCCCCTCCTCCCCTCCCCGTCACTGGGGTGGGGCCAATACCCACAGATGGGGGGCTAAAGAGGGAGGAGATTGGGGGGAAAAGTCTAGATGGGCCTGTCCCCCAGTGGGGTTTGGGTGCCAGTGGTCCCGAGAAGGGGGCTCGTTAGCCCACTGCTGAGGGTCCAAGTCCAGTCTGCCCCGTGGGCTCACGCACTTACCTCGCTCCACCTGTTGCTGGGATCGCCTCATTTCTGCACATCACTTTGGGGTGGCTGAGGGGGGACCACACACCCCTCCAAGTCCCTCTTTTGTGGTTCCAGTGAGGCAGTCATCCTTCATTTCTCTTTTTCCAGCTTTCGGGAAGCAGTTAGGGAATGTATGATGAAGCAGAAATGAGCCGTCAGGATGATATTTTAATGGCTTATATGTCACGTTGGTGCATGTGGCTTTGAACTGGAGCCGCTTTGGTTTCCTGCAGAGAGCGCCGCAAATCCCACTTGATAACTTCTACAACCCACAACTTTTTCCCCCTCCCCGCACATTCACTGTTACCCTGAATATTTGGACGTGTTTCCTAAAAAATACTCTCTTGTCAACGTCCCCATTGGATTTTTCACGGACTGGAGAGGAGAAGACCGACTTTTCTTTTTTGAAGAATTATTATTTTTTTTTCTCTCCCCCTCCCAATGGCTACCCTTCCCCCTCACGTTCCCTCCCTTGTGTTTTTTTTTTTTTTTGAGAAGGAGGAGAGGTGGATTCAATATTTGTTCTCCCTAGTGAGAGCAGTACAGCCTCTGGAGAAAACTTCTTGCAGATAAGGTTTTTATAACTACATTGGAGCAAAGATCCAACCTCCCCTTGTCGGCAGTAGAAAAACACTTTGTTCCGAAAAGGATATATCCAAACTACCCAAAGTGCATATATATATATTTAAAACCACCCCTCAAGCCCCAGCCCTTTAATTTCATTCCCCATCCCTGGTCCAGTCAAAGTTGGTGGGAAATGCTTGGCTGCCGCACTCCGACTTGTTGCTGGGAACAGAACATTTGATTTTTTTTTTCTTTCTTCAATGTCTATTTCCCAGCACAAGCGCAAAGGCTCAGCCAGGTCCCTTCAGACACGGGGAAATCACCCCAGATACACAAGCCGAGTTTTGAGCGGGGAGAGCCTAGTGAAGGGCAGCTCGGCTCACCGACCCAGGCAAAAAGTCTAGTCGATGAAAAGACCAGAAAACCAGGAAGGCTGGGGGCGGCCAGCGCCGATCCTGCCTCCCTCCAGCCTGTGCAGCGAGCTAAGGCGGGCGAGCGGGCAAAACAAATTCATTTTCATTTTCCTCTCTTCCAACCACTGGTGAGTTTTCTGACTGGGCTGCCTGTGAAAGGATGAGTTGAGGTTTCTTTGTCTGCGAAAAGAGTTTAGGGCTCCGATTCAGCTGCAAATAAGCCAAATGAAGTTAGAAACAAAGGGCAAATTGAAGGATTCCGACTCTTGGCTTTTTGTGTTTTCCTTACTAGAAAATAATTAGACCTAATGAATATGCAGACACTTGGGCTAAACCCCCAGCCCGGGCTGCTGGGTTTTAAACAGAGCTGCGGAGAAATGCAACCTTTATCCCCACAAGCCCCCGCATCCGTGTGCATTTTTTGAAATGCATAAATGTTACTCGCCTTAATTGATTGAGTCACGGATTTTTTTTCTTGCTTTTAAGTGCTATACTCTTCTACCTTTCAACAATCATTTTAATATATGGTCAATGGCTCTTTGTGGACGGGACAAAAAGCAACTACGCGCAGTTGTTGAATAGACTTTGCGCTGGGCAAAGACAGGTTAATCGAGGGCCGCATCGCGAAAACAAGCGAGTGTTGTATGTTTGCACTGAATCCAAATGTCTGCATTTTCCTAACTAAATCAAAGGGAGTGTTATTTCTTTTTCTGCTCACTCATCTGAAGGTAAGTAAATTTTCTCTGGCGATCAAAAGCCTGGTCGGCAACAAAGACCGCGCCCGCTTTTTCCACCGTCCTGGTGTGGCGAGTTGCGGAATTTCAATAACTGTGACAAGGGTGACTGATTTGTGAACTAAAAAAGGTTTGAATGTCACAAAATTTACATTGGTTCTATCTATCGGGGATTTAAATGCTAAAAAAGTATTCGGGGATTTCTAGGGAGCTTTGGACAGTCCTGAAGAACAATGGCGCTTTGGGAAATTTACAGTTTTACCTGAATGAAAGGGGCCCCGGTTGGGAACAGGAGTGCAGAGGGAGAGGGTCCTTGGGGGCAGACGAGGGAGCCCGAGGAAATGGGAGAACAGAGAAGAATAGCACAGGGAAATAAAAAGGGAAATCAGCAACAGTGTTTCCAATGTGTCATTTAAAAAGTAAACACCCCAATAACCTGGAAAGTTAAGAGCTCTCATATACCTGTGCTTATTTTGGGGCGGGGGATAGGATGGACGCAGGGGATCTGATTGATCTGATAAAAATAAGAAAACCGAGGCAACTGGTTATCCTGAAGAATCCCATTTCTAGAAAAGAGAGAGTGGAGTGTCCATGTGTTCCGAGATCTTAAATTATAAACAGGAGGAGGACGAGGCAAGAGGGAGGAAAACTTCAAAAGGAGCAAATAACAAAAGCCTCCTTTGCAGCCCTTAAGGGGGGGGGGGTGGTGCGGAGAGGGGAGAATGAAAGAAAAGAAAGTTGCTGAATCGGGACATTCTGGAAGTGTCTTAGCTGTGTTTACCCACCCCTGCACTCCTGGACGCCAGAAGTCGCTAACGGCTCCGCAAGAGCAGGTTTGAGGAAGGACAAGATAGATATAAGAGAGAGAGAGAGAGAGAGAGAGAGAGAGAGAGAGAGAGAGAGAGAGAGAGAGAGAGAGAGAGAATGGGAAAGGAGGAGGAAGAGGGATAAGGAGAGAGAGAGAACCTATGCAACTGCGAGAAGAAAAAGGAACGTGGCAAAAAAATTTTTTTTTTTTCTGCGAGAAGAGGGAGAAAAAAATTTTTTGGCCAAAAAAAAAAAAGTTGCTACTCCTGGCAGCCGGGTTTGTCAAAAGAGGATGTCAAGTGCTTTACAATACCTGGGATTGATGAGGCGGGCGGGCCAATGAACTGCGCGCGGCGCCTCGGCGCGCCCTCGGTTGGCGCGGCGGCTGTGGGCAGGGGGGGAGTGCAGACGCACCAATCGGCGCCCTCGTCAGTAGCACGTGACACCTCCCCCTGCTCCCATTCATCAAGGGGGGGACGGTGTCTTCCTTTCAATTCATTTATCTGCAGGAATGATTGCTGCTATCAGTCTCGCGCTCACCGCCCGGCTGAGGAGGTGAAAGTTTCTCCCCAGGAAGATAAACCGCAAAAGACAATATTGTGCATGATTTGAGCCTTTTCTTGGGCTTTTTCTTTCTTTCTTTTTAGCTCCCCCCTTTTCATTATTATTTTATTATTATTATTATTTTTTGGCAAAAAGCAGAGGGGAAAAAAGGAGAGTGAAGGAGCGAGAGAGGCGAGCCTGAGAGAAAAGAGAGAGAAAAGAAAGAGCGAGGGGCAGTGGAGAAGTGAGGAGGGGCGAACGGCGCGAGGCGGAGAGAGAGCGAGCAGTTGCGGCTCCTGCGCTCACATTCCTCTATGCTACAAATCCGGGAGGAAGTTTTTTGGGGGGGCTGAGATGCTCCATGGTTTTCCCTGGGCAGCTTTGACGCGGGGTACTCTCGGCAAAGACTGAGCGGCGAGGAAGTGCAAGCCCGGCCGGCAGGGTCTGCTTGGCGGGCGCCAGAGCCCGCCTTGCTCGCGGCCCGCAGCCGTCCGGCTTCCCCGAGCTCAGCCGGGCAGGCTCCCCAGCGCGCAGCGCGGCTGCCTGCGGGCCAGGACTTCTCGAGGTGGGTCGACTCCTCCTCCCTCTTCTTCTTCTTCCTCCTCTTCCTCCGCCTCTCATTCCTCCTCCTCCTGATTTTCCCTTCTCGGTGGGCGAGGGTGGGGGGGGCGGGGGAGGCCGGGGCTCGCCCGGAGCAGCCACGATGCTCCTGGACGCCGGCCCCCAGTACCCTGCAATCGGCGTGACCACCTTTGGAGCATCCCGCCACCACTCCGCGGGCGACGTGTCCGAGCGCGACGTAGGCCTGGGCATCAACCCGTTCGCCGACGGCATGGGAGCCTTCAAGCTGAACCCCAGCTCGCACGAGCTGGCTTCCGCCGGCCAGACGGCCTTCACGTCTCAGGCGCCCGGCTACGCGGCCGCCGCGGCCCTTGGCCATCACCACCACCCGGGCCACGTCGGCTCCTATTCGAGCGCAGCCTTCAACTCCACGCGGGATTTTCTGTTCCGCAACCGGGGCTTTGGCGACGCAGCGGCAGCAGCCAGCGCTCAGCACAGCCTATTCGCTGCTTCGGCCGGGGGTTTCGGGGGCCCACACAGCCACACGGACGCCGCGGGCCACCTCCTCTTCCCTGGCCTTCACGAGCAGGCGGCAGGCCACGCGTCGCCGAACGTGGTCAACGGGCAGATGAGGCTTGGCTTCTCGGGTGACATGTATCCGCGGCCCGAGCAGTACGGCCAGGTGACAAGCCCGCGTTCGGAGCACTACGCCGCGCCGCAGCTGCACGGCTACGGGCCCATGAACGTGAACATGGCCGCGCATCACGGCGCCGGCGCCTTCTTCCGTTACATGCGCCAACCCATCAAGCAGGAGCTTATCTGCAAGTGGATCGAGCCGGAGCAGCTGGCCAACCCAAAAAAGTCCTGCAACAAAACTTTCAGCACCATGCATGAGCTGGTCACGCACGTCACCGTGGAGCACGTCGGCGGACCTGAGCAGAGTAACCACATCTGCTTCTGGGAGGAATGTCCACGCGAGGGCAAGCCCTTCAAAGCCAAATACAAACTGGTCAACCATATCCGCGTACACACAGGCGAGAAGCCCTTCCCCTGCCCTTTCCCAGGATGTGGCAAGGTCTTCGCACGTTCAGAGAACTTAAAGATCCACAAAAGGACGCACACAGGTACGGAAACCTCTGTCCTTGAACCCCCCCTGTCCCCATATGCATCCCGGGCAGGAGACCTGAAATCCAAAAGTCAGTGGTCGGGGCACGCAAACAGGGCCTCGGTTGGGTCTGGGAGTCAGGTTCCAGCAGGCAGGCAGCGAAAGTTAAGCTGGTTTTTAGTTTCGTGCTTGAAATTATGAAAAAAGTATAAAAGGAGCGCACAGAGAGGATCCTGGAATTTAGTTTTTTAAAGGAGGAATATAAAAGGCCGGGAGAGCCAAGGGACACACCAGGTTTGCAGAGCCTTGGCTTGCACGAAGCCGGGAGAGGTGGCTGGCTCCGGAAGGCGCAGGCAAGCGGCGGCGGCGGCTCCCGCAGCTGCAGCTGCAGACA